AAGTGTGAACAATAAATGAATCGTGAACATCAGTGGAAGACTTAGTCATCTTTTAACCAGGACGCTACACTACCAGTTATTAAATAACACATTTTTCTTAATGTAATTTTATTTATATGTTATTATTAATAATTATTAATATTCATCTATGTGAAGACATGGATCATGTTAATGATTTCTCACAGTAGTTGTCAACAATGATTTAACAAGTTAGATAAATATCAATATGCAACACTTCATTTGTCTGAAATAGTTTTTTTTTTTTAAGTTTTTTAAATATATAACTTAAAGTAATTTTCAAATTTACTCCAATGCAAGTTTGATTTAAAAAGAATACCTATAAAAATATTAGATGCAGCTTACTCATATGTGGTGCTATGGTGAGCTATTTTTAGAACAGGCCCACGGGTGACCCCATGTTGGTGACCCCTGCAATAGAGCAACGATAAAAGTGGAATGAGCAGTGCTTTAGGGTTTTCTGAAGAGTCGAGCAGTACTCAGGTTGATATATTAAATAAATTATCAAATTAAATGTTTAATAGGGACAAATCTGGGGATACAATAATATATGGACATTAGTCATTTTGTAGTTTGCATTATTATTTTGTTTGCAATAACTTGTTTGCATGCTCTTAAATATGTTGGGTGACCAAACTCTTATTTTAATGGAAATTTAGTTTAATTGATTTGTTTATTTTGTCTTTTATATTTGTACTAGCATGCGGCTGTGGTGATGAAGACGGTAAAAATGGCTGTAATTCATTACAAACATGCTCTGCTTTAAAGACGTGTTCAACATTTGATGATCACAGAGAGCTGAACAGATCTTTTAATCCCGGTTGCTTTGCGCACATTCTGTCTTGTTGATATGATTATACATGTTACTATGGAGATATGTTAATATGCAGCTGTCAATCAATTCTGTTGGCGGGAAAACCTCACTCCTGCATCATGTTGTGGTGGGCCTCAAAATGGGAGGGATTTGGATCCTATTTTAACATCAGGACATTTAAAAAAAGAGACTTATTGTGTTTATATCAGCCTAATATGACTGTGGACACACTATACTACACACAGCTCTGTCCAAGCAGCTTACAGAAGATGATTTTCAGCACAGGTGCCCTTTAAAATGGTTTTAAAAGTAAGAACTGCTTTCATTCTAGCCGAAATAAAACAAGACTTTCTCTAGAAGGAAGAATATTATAGGAAATACTGCAAATTCCTCAATCTGTTCAACATCATTTGGGAAATACTAGAACAAAATTAACAGGAGGCGAAAAATTCTGTCTTCAATTGTGTTGACTCCAGCGGCTGATGCTGATCTGAGATCAGCCATCACGAGCTGCTCTACAATCTGACTTATCAAAAGAGCCGAGGCTGAGGAGGGACATAATTGTTTTCTGGTCTGGAAAACAACTTCTCAAAAGCTTTCATATGTTTCCTGTCCTGCGTGCAAAACACACGCTGAATCTGCCAGAAATGAAGAGAAATGCAAAATCAGGGTCAAACTCCAGAGTCCTTGATGCATAATGTGCATTTATGCCTTCATATAAGGAAAACAGGAGGTAGAGGTCCAGCATGTTTATGATAAATAAGCAATATCAAAATCCCTGATCATATTCAGTACAACAGAGCAAGACACGGCACAAAATACAAGTTCAGCCAGTTGAAGATGATATGCTTATAAGCAAATCTGTTTTCCAAAACCATAATCATATGTACAGAACCTGTAGCCTTTTTTAATAAAGATATCCAAAAGCATAAGAATGGTGTGTGTTGTGCTGACTTTATCTCTATATTTAGAAGAAAGGTTAAATGCAGCGAAATAATCAATTTTAACTTGTGTGTGTTGTGTGTGTTCATGCTTATAACGTCACACACACACACACTCTCCATTTCTGTCTTACTCCTCTATACCATAAGTGTTGAATACTTTAGCTCATCCATCAACATGATATCTGCAGGAGGATGATGAAGACCACGATCGTCACCTTTGTTTGTTGTGAATACGCGCCCTCTAGTGGCCAAAGTTAAACAATGCATGTTTAAATGTGTAAAGCCTATCATCCTTTTCCCATCACTAATGTACTGGCGTGAGTGGAGTACTGCATGCATCACAGGTAAATGATTTTCAACAATAAGGCTCGCATGTGATCATTTCACACACCCACAAGTGTTGGGTTTTCCTCAAAGCTGCATAAACTACACACATCAGTAACACGCCATCATAGAGGCTGGAGGAGCACAAACACTGCAGCGTTTCTACATATCAGCTGTTCCTTCTGGGATCTCAAGTGCACAGAAACATCTGCTTTGTGCTGTTAGTGAGAGCAAATGGAAGAAACACATATTAGACTTCCCAAACACTGCCGTCTGAGTGTTTATAATATTAAAAGAGCACATCAGGGGACTGACCAGCTGATTTTAGCTGGCTATTTGCATGAACAGGGATCGTTTGGACAATGTTGTCCGCTGCAATTAAATTTTCTGGGATTTATTTTATGTATTTTAAGCATGATATTGTTGCATTTAAATTAATGCTGAACAATCAAGGGCGGATTTAACTAAAAAGTAAGGTAAGCGGGTGCTTAGGGCCCCAGGAAATCTGGGGGCCCCCCAAATAAATACCTAAGTATAAACGATACCTATAAATTACATGTAAGATTGTTTTCTTTTATATTTTGTATGGTAAGGGTCCTCTATCTTTAATCATGGACGAGTCCAGCAGTCAAATCAGTTAACAAAATTATTCATTTCTTATTTTTAGTTGTAAATTCTTCTTGAGAAAATAAATTGTTTAATTTTTTCACAAGGTGCTTTACATGTTATTATTATTTTACATTTAGTTAAAATGTTTTTAAAAAGCAGATCAAATGATATAAGAACAACAGATAAATAATAATAAAAAAGTATTGAAGTATAATAGGTGCATTTTAGAACTTTTGTGCCCCATTGCTGAGTTGCTTATCCCCACAATCACTAAAACCACCACTGTGAATCGATATCGCAATATGCACAAGGCAGGATCATATAGCAGTGCGTGACTGTCAGCTGACGCGCTCCATAGTGATGAACAGACGCTGTTTCCCAAATGCATTCTGTACACGCGATCTGAGGTGGAGCAGAGGTCTGGGTTTCGGGTGCGTGTTTAAACAGACAAATACACATAACTAACAATAATAATATCTAAAGATGTCGATCTTGATGTTTTTTTTTTTTTCAAAAACAAGTAATTTTGTCCTAAATGAGCATAAAAAGTTAGGAAAGCAGTCGAATGCTTTCATTATAACGTTAGATGTGTGCATTTTTAAGTGACACCTGTTATTTAATGTAATTAAACAAAAAAAAAATAAAATCTAAAATCATTTGTTGCTCTTCATACAGAAGAAACGGCGATTTGATAGCTTGATTCTATTTCATTATAATAGCTATTAATTTTAATAAGCTGAACTGTTTGCTAATGTATTTGCTGCTGATGTATATATATATATTTTTTTTTTGTAAATAATAACAATAATAAAACATATTACTGACCATTTAACTGTTTATTTACAATGAAACAGCTCCAAATGAACATAGTTAGTAATTTAGGGATTTTTTAAAGGGGGGGTCGGGGGGAATCCCTTATTATGGTGGGCATATGCCTTATTTTCACATCCCAATGTAGACATGTATGATGTTAAGCCAAAACAAATTTAACATAAAAGCGATTTAAAACTGATTGTCATTCTCTGATTGTCAGACTTCTAAATCAGAGTCTTCCTCAACTATCTTTATAAAGAATCCTCTCTGCTTCGGTTCTGCCTCCTACAACATGCAGTCATTCATTACATTAAGATGGTCCTGGTGTCCACTATAGTGGACATTTAAAATAGGATGATATTTTGAAACACAAACAAATTAACAGCTTTGAAAGTTAAATGTATTGTTCCTGACACTTTAACAAATATCTATGTAATAATAATAGTAGAAAAACAGTTAAAAGCTACATTTCACATACCTCTCTCCTTCTCTCTTCCCATAAAATGTATTTGTTTATATGTCGGCCATTTTGGGTGCAGTGTAAGAAGTGGTTCTTAGCATGCCAGCCAATCAAATGACATATCACTAAAAAGCCCAGGATGTCCTCTGAACAATACAACAGGACTTGACAGAGTAGCTCAAAAAATACAAAGAAAATTCATGAAAACACAATGTCCACTACTGAGGACACAAGTCAATGGGCGGGGTCTCAGGAGGACATACAGATTTTACCACAAAACAAAAGTAAACAGAAAAGTATCTCATTAATATTTAAACAACACTGTCTTTCCCAAATATAAGACAATTTAAATGTAGTCTTGTTCTCAGACTTCAGAAACTGTAAATGTAAGTCGTGTTTAATAATTCAAATGATTTAATTCCTGTAAATGCCTTCATTTACTGCCGCAGTACTCGCATACTAACGTATGGTGGGCGTGGCTTATCATTTATTGGGCGTTTTTAATATAGTTGTGGGCGTGTTTTACAAGCGATACAACTTGTGGGTGTGATTTCTTCCAAATTAATGCAAGCAATACAGATAACCCCGCCCCCAAAGCACGTCACAAGAAGAAAACACGCTCCTCTGTTGATCACATGCGCAGATTGTTTACTGTTTTACCGCTTCTCTCACCTGCACTATAATGTAAACACCATGTTTTATTGGTGTTTACTGAAATATCTTCAAACATGCTGCTTTATTCGCTAGACACATCACATGCATATTAATAAACCAAGTCTTCCACTTTGGAATATTACATTTTAAAAGCTGAACGATCATCCTGACAGACAGTGCAGCCTGTTTTACATTACTTTTCTTAAACATGTATATATCAAAGTGTTAGAATACACCATGACAGCTTATACACACAATAAGCATTTGATTCTTTATGTTGTATCTCACACACGTGTATATAAAAGTCCTGCATGCACAGGCGGAGTAAATATCGTGCATGATGAAGTGTTTATAGCGCTCTTACCTTCACTTTCACACTGTTTTCCATTGTTCGCCCCCATCCCGAAGAACACATACTCTCTGTCCTCAGGAAAACATCACTGAAGCATCAGATCACACTCACAAGTCCTCGAGGATGAATATTTATCCATCATGTGAAAGTCTTTATAAGTGGACATCCAGAAAGCAGGAGCGCAGAAGTGTGCGTGAAGCGGCAGGAGTGTGTGTGTGTGTGTGTGTGTGTAGCGGGCGGGTCCGTGCAGAGAAACTGACTTTACTGACTGCATGATTGGCTGAACTCGCTGGAGAGAGAGATAAAGAGACCCTCTGAATAATAAAACACGGTAGAAACGCTAGAAAAAGAGAGCCGCCGACTTTATGAGGAGAGAGAGAGAGAGAGAGAGAGAGAGAGAGAGAGAGAGAGAGAGAGAGAGAGCGAGCGAGCTTCAATATTTACTAAGGGAAAAAAATGTGTGTCCTTCTAGCTGCTCAATACATTAATGCCTGTCACAAAAAGAGAGAGCAGACCAATAAAAACATCAGTGATGCGCCTGCAAACACACACACACACACACACACACACACACACACACACACACACACACACACACACACACACACACACACACACACCTAGATGATTATAAATGAATCTTTGTAAATATACTGATTATAATTGTTTTTATTACTGTTTTATCCTAAAAATGTACAGTTTATTCTGATCTATTTTTGTATTAATTTGTATGGATAATTAATGTTGAATAATAATATAATATATTAATATTAATGTGATATATTGAATAATATGATGTAATGTTGATATTTTATTTAATCATTATATATAAATATCATCTTTTTCTTTTGCTACTACTACTATTTACTGTGTGTACTGTTTTTTTATTATATATGTATGTTACTTTTAATGTAAACTTCATTTCTGCTTTGGCAATACATTTGTAACAATGTTCATGCCTATAAAGCAATTATTGAATTGAATTGAATTGAGAGAGAGAGAGAGAGAGAGAGAGAGAGAGAGAGAGATCATCCGTGTAATATAACGCGCTGCTGCTAATCCCCCAGAGCGTCAGAAGAGCTCTCCAGATAAAGCGCGGAGGAGACATGTGACTGATAATATAACATATTACTAAACAATTATATATACAGGTGAAGTCAGAATTATTCACCTGGCTTTGATTTGTTTTTTCTTTCTTTTAAAATATTTCCTAAATGATGTTGAACAGGTTTAGGAATTGTTCGCAGTATTTCCTATTTGTTATTCTGGAGAAAGTCTTATTTGTTTTATTTCGGCTAGAATAAAAGCAGTTCTTAATAATTTTAAAGCCATTTAGGTCAATACTATTAAGCCCCTTAAGCTATTTGTTTTGAATAGTCTACAGAACAACCCACTGATACAATGACTTGCCTAATTACCCTAACTTTACCCTAATTACCCTAGTGAAGCCTTTACATGTCACTTTAAGCTGAACACTAGTGTCTTGAAGAATATCTAGTCTAATATTATGTGCTGTCATTATGACAAAGAGAAAAGAAATCAGTTATAAGACAGTTTATAACAATTAAGAACTAAATAATAATTATAAATATTGTGTTTAGAAATGTGTTGAAGAAAAATCTCTTTCTGTTAAACTGCAATTGGGAAAACTAAATATAGGAGGGCTAATAATAATTTTGACTTCACTTATTATATATATATATATATATATATATATATATAATTTTTCAGTAATTATTAATTTATTTAATTACGAGTTTTATATATATTTATAAAAATATGTATATTGATTATATAATTATGCATTTTTTAACTTAACCTCCAATTTAGGTTTGAATATAACAATTCAGTCTTTTTTCATCAGTCTTCGACTTCATTTCTTAAATTTCACAAGATGACAGACTTTTAATTCTAGTTTTTTTTCTTACAATTGGCAAATTGATTGTGAGGTTAAACTTGCTACTCTGAGATTCAGTACTGCTACTGATTAAATAAATAGTTTGTGTTTGGGGTGTTAAAATACAGTGGCATATACATTTAAATAGCCTAGACTCAGAATTGTGCATTGCATTTCTTTCACTTTCAAATACTGTTCTGGAAAGAAGTTTTGATTCTGTGTCACGTGTCCTCAACAACAATAGTTAATTAAAAATAGTGGCGTAACAGATCTTAAATCTCACGGTTCAGAACGCATTATGTTTTTTGTAGGCACGAATTGGATAATTTTTCAGATCAGCCAATTAGGGGAGGAGAACAATGCCATTCTATTTAATGCTTTCTATTTATTACAGAAAAAGCACTGCAAGACACTTTCGGTTTTAACAAACCGAACTGAGAAGCTGTAATTTATCAAAAATAAAATTAAGGAATAATCAGCTGAATAACAATAAACTGTCAAATATTCAGTCCTGTGATAAACTCACGGCGCTGATCACGCTAATGTAGAAATCCAACATCATTTGTACAGCCCATATATATTTTAGTCTCATCTTCAATAAATGATTCAGTTATTCCCTCATAATCTTCATGTTTCATTGATAGATGGTCATTGTTGAAGAATTATTCAGGGGTGTATTTTTGATGGCAGGTTGTCGCCACCTATTGGCTGAATAATATAATTGCTGCCTACAACTTTCATTTTTGAGCGTCAAGTTAAATGCATATGACAGTGATTTTATTCTTCTCCATGAACATCAGTTCAAACTGTTCTCCCAGCACGTCTGTGTTATTTGACTGTATCTAACTCAAAAGACTAAACCTATTTCTTGATTTCAAGCACAGATCTGAATGCAGCGATTGGAAGGGTTAATGAACATATGCAAATCACCATCATTTATATTATGTTGCGTGGGTGTTGAGATCCTGATCTTTTCATGATTAATCGTGCAGCTTACATTGAAAGCATTAATGCAGGCTAAAGAAGCAGTGACAGAAAACCCCTTTAATAACCTACGAAACCCTCCACATTCTTAATAACCCGCCATAACTTCTTCTGTCATCGTTATATTTTACAGGCGAGCCTAAATGCTTTCATACATGTGATTTGAATGATCCGAGAGGTGATCTCTCTGGGATTTTTACAAATCTAGGATTAATCTACTAGTAAGAAAATGTATTACTACGGGAGTTAGGGGTGTGTTCCGAACCGTGGGTTATGATCCGTACGAATCACGGATCAACCATAATCTGTTACACCCGTATTTAAAAGACATCACAAAAAAAGGCTCAGGAAATATGCTAAAGTGAACTTAAAAGAACTATGAAATAATCCACATATTCCTCAAACATTGGGACAAATGAACATACGTTAATATCAGTGGCAGTACAGCTTTCCTCATCTCTACAAAGCAAACAGAAAACCCTCGTCTGCATCCTTACTGTGCTCTCTATTGTTATTTAAAGACTTCCTGCACAGAAATAAAGTGATTTGAGACTATTAACGGAAGTCTTCAAAACAGGAATCATACACACAGGGGTATTTTTGTCCAGGGATTACTTCCATGAGTAGTGAGTGAAAGCCTGTGACCTTTATGTTGCAGCGACAATACAGAGATCCTTATTGTTTACAAGTGCCGAGACTGTGTTTTGTGCTGGTGGCCCTGACGCGCCGGACACTTATTGTTTTAGATATCAGCATATCAGTCTTTATCAAACTCCTATTATGACTAAGGTGAATAGACTCATGCTAAAAAAATCACATAGTTCTGTCCAACTTTACTCTAAACACGCAGATATGTCCAGACGTATACTGATATTCAGTAAATCGTGATTATCTCATCTCTATCATCTCAAACACATTGCAAGACTTAGATGCTTTGTAAAGACTGACAGAAACTTGTTTATGCTTTTATCAGCAGCAGGGCGGATTACTGTAATGGATTTTAAACTATTGTTACTTGTCTGTAAATCACTTAGATGATAAACACACACAAATAAGTCCAGACATGTACTGATATAATTCAATAATTCAAAATACCTTGATTATGAACATGGCATGCACAATTAAAATCACAGACACTTCAAAATATGGTGAATAATTATTAATTTCAGCTTTTGAGTGTCTTTTAGGAATACTCAGATCGCTGTATTAGCAGTGGCTGTTCACCACAGCAGATTAAATCAGTTAAAATAGTTCATTAAGACTCAGGTCAGGCATGTCCAAGCTCGGTCCTGGAGGGCCGGTGTCCCACAAAGTTTAGTTCCAACCCCAATCAGACGCACCTGGGCTAGCTGATCAAGCTCTTGCTAGGCTTTCTAGAAACATCCTTGCAGGTGTGTTGAGGCAAGTTTAAGCTAAAATCTGCAGGACACCGGCAATCCAGGACCGAGTTTGGACACCCCTGTAGTAGGAGATTTTTCAAGTTTATCTAGGTCACGATATTGAAAATTTTAACTATTTATAGGCCTTTTGTTTTGCATATCAATACTTAACAGTAAGACTCTATTAAATTTGAGTTAATTTAGCTTAAATTGCATGATGAAAACTACAAAAGCGTTGATTAATCTTACACTGTATATACAAAGTTTTATACGATTCATTAATAAACTTAAATTTAAGTGAATTGAACAAAGAAATTTAGTTGCCCCCCCCAAAAAATCTCAACAATTGTGTTTTATCTAATTTTAAGTAATTGAAAACATGCAGAAATAAATGTTTTAATGTAGGTGATGTTACTTGGTAACACGTTATAATAAGGCTGTATTAGTTAATGCATCATCAACCATGATCCATTACACACCTGATCACTATATATATAGTCAAAAACAAAATATCACCATATCAGATTTTTACAATGTCTACCGTACACCATGATATGCAGTTATTCACAACACAATCTAATAGTCAGATGCCTACACCACACATCTTCATTAATAGCGTTGCTGTTGTTGATCATGTATTCGTTTATTATCCCTCTGTGAAACACACTGAACTGCACACAAGTTGTTTATCTTGGAGCACACTTTGAGAAAATGTTAAGCGTCTGTTTTTTGATGGGTGTGTGTGTTTGGCTTTGCATGGTACCAATCAGCCAGCGGTGTGTGTTGGCCGTCTCAACCAGGGTCAAATGCCAAGCCAGAGGAAACTTTTTACAGCCAAACGCTCTGCAACCCAAGAACGCTATCAACTTCCTTTCACCGACTGGCACACACACACACACACACACACCCCAAACAGGAAGAAAACCTTGCATTTGTGGATTTGGAAATGCCTGTGAAACCTGAGATTCAGAGAGAGCGTAAAGGTCAGATAGAGATGTTGTGTAATTTGAGGTTTCAGATATATTAAACCTTCATTGCTGCTTTTGAGGAGGTGTTT